CAGTGGGTGAGACAGTGGTGCATCATTACTGAAAATTTCACTAGGGCTAGACTGAGGAAGTGTTCAGGCCTGTGTGTTCTGGTTAATTCAAATTCAATGCTTCAGAATTTGTATTTAAAGGGTTGAGCAGTTCGGTAAGATTGCACTGCATCAACAGCAGACAACTTTGATCTGTTCTTATTAAAAGGATGATGTGAGATATACCAAATGGTTAATTTTTTATTTTTATTTTTTGTGCTATATACGAAATGATTGAACAACACTAATCATTTGTTGCATGAAGCAATGATTTCATATGTTTGCATTTGAATTGTTGGTGATTTTTTTTAGGTACGTTGCGTCGTTTGGATCACATATTTGGAAAATGATTTGAAAAGGAAAAGAAAAAAGATGAGAACAATGTGAATGAAATATGAGCTACTTTTCCTTTTTCTTTTTTAAATTTTTTATCTAAATTCATGATTTAAATATAAACAAAAATTGTTGGTTCATATTTAAGTTGGGATATCAATGATTGTCTTTAAAATTTTCAATTGAAAGTTGTTTGTGGAGAAATTTGCAAATTAGATCGAAGGAGGTGAAGTAATTGTAAAAACCATGGAAGTGTAAGCAAGTTTGTACTATGATGCAAGTAAAAACTATGATCTTGTTCGTTTCAAGAGCACTAATGTTATGTTTTTGTAATAATTTTTTTTATTGAAAATTGATTTGAAATTCTTTTTTCTTTTTTTTTTGGTTTTTTTCTTGGTTGTATTAGGTGTTAATGTTATGCTTTATGACAGGTTAGGTGATAAGTAAATTTGATACAAAAATATCAAAATCTGTAACTAAAAAAAAAAAAACATCAAAATCAGATGAAATTAAATTAAATTGAATTTGATAGTACAAACTTTTCATTTGAGGCTATTTACAAAACTTCTTAGGTCTAGTCTATCAACATTATCCTAGCCAAAAGGAGCCAAGACAGATCATATCATATCATACTCATATCAGGCCCTAACATGCCATTTATTCACCACCCCCTTCTTATAATCAATAATTCTTCTACTTAAACTGAAATCAATTACAGAATTGGAATACAATTCTCTCACATGGTATAGGATGCACAAAAGATCTAACCTATCTTATTTGAGAGTGTTATACCCACTTCTATGATCAATTTTGTTTCATTTTCCTTGACAACTCAATTCAAGCCAAAGTAGTCTCTAAAAGAGTGTCTTTGGCTTTGAGCAAGTCATCATTGTCAAGCTTTTGTTCATGCTCCAGCCTTGAGTTTGTGATGGAAATTTTGTCATCCAACCATGAAATGATGTCGGAAAACACGATGTCGATGTTCTTTGGTAACTCACCATAGGTGAGGGCATGCCACATCTCTGGATACAACTTGAAGCTCTTGTCTGTGCTGCAAGCTGATTCATACAGAAGCTTGCTTACTGATGGATCGGTCACCTTGTCTTCGCTCCCATGGAGGACTAGAAATGGTAATGAAACCTGTTTGATCAAGCGAGACAAATCATCGCATCAATACTTTGAACAAAGCAGATGTGCTAGTTGCGCAAAATGAATCATATAATAGATATAGAGATTATTAATTATGTGCAATTCGAAATATTGAAATGTACATTGTTTTGGTAATGAAATTTGTTAGATCAAGCAGACAATAATAGATGATTTGAAGAGAAACCACTGTATCAGTTGCATGGAATTAAATCACAAAAAAGATCCTTCTCTATTTTGTGATTTAATTTTGTACGACTAAACTTAGTCAAAGAAAAATATAAAGATGTACATGTGCTAGCTTGTTTGTTTGATTGTTTAGAAAGCAAAAGAAAATACTTTCAATGTTGTATTGCAAACTGATGAAGCAACAGAAAGGATGTGATTCAACACCAACTACTGTAGAGAACATATATGTTTTAATATCAAGAATTTTAAAATAGGGTAAGCTTTATTTTAAGTGTAAATATACATATATATATAAATTTAAATAGCGTAAACGGACCTCTTGAAGTCTTTGCTCGAGATCTAAGCTGACATTCAAAAGTTGATTGCCCGTTTGTAGGCGAAATCGGCCTTTGTAGCAATAAGGGTTTGATCGAATCTGCAATCACAGTAAAAAAAAAAAAAATCATTTAATAATACAGTATTATGTTTAAAAAAAATTAAAATATCACAATTTTGTTTTCTCAATTTTTGAACAATATTATGTCTCAATAATGCTCTTGTGAAACAAGATCAAACAAGACTTTCACTATGATCTCTATTTTAAAATTTTGTTAGAAAATAATCACATTACATATTAATATTATTAAAAAAAATTATTTTTAAATTTTAATAATAATAAGCACGATTTTATGTATTGATGTGACTATGGTTTGATAAAATTTTGAGAGATTTTCAAATATGGTACAGAATTACCTAATAAACCTAATTAAACAACCAGTCATTATTATAACACAAATGTTACTCCACTGCCATAGTCACTGTGACAATAGAGGCACACCTAAGAAAAGAAAAGAAAAAAAAAGGGGGGAAAGAATTTTTTTTACCTCCTCTCGTACTTGAGGGTCTCTGAAGGCAACATCAACAATATCTGGAGCAGGGATGATTTTCCATGTTGGAATGAAACGGCAGAGTTTTGTCAATACACTAATCACCAATGGATGTGGCCTCATGTCATCTGCTATCTGTAATAATCAATCCAAAATCACAACAATCATGTTATAATACAACATTTTCAAATAATTTTTGGGGGATTATGTTTGTGTCTCTCATAAATTTAAGATGGGTTATTTCGGTTCAGTTTGTGAAATTCACTTCAAGTCATATTGATCTGATAAATGTTTACATATAGTTTCATCATATATGTCTTTTAAAAAATAAACTAGTATAATTTTAAGAATAACTAGCGAATTCTTTTAATGACAAATCTGATGAAATCATGTGAATATAATTATCAATTTGATTTATTTTTCATACATATCTACACCGGGATTAAAACTATTTTTTACCCCAAAAAAACTCATTTTCCATTAAAACATTTTTTTGTTAACTATTATTTTCTTTCGAATCACATGTCAAATGTAGGAAAAGGTCAAAATAGAGAGAGAGAGAGAGAGAGAGAGAGAGAGAGGTGCACACCTTACACATGGGTGCAACCAAGATGGCACCATCCCAGAAAGTTGGCTTCTTCCTGTGCAAGAGAAGAGCCACTGCTCCTCCCATGGATTCTCCCAATACTATTCTCAACTTGTTCATGTTCTCCTTTCTTTCTGCTCAACATTATCCCAAAAAAAAAAGAGAAAAAGAAATAAAATCATCAATTAAACCTCACATACAAATTTACTTGTAATTGATAGTGATCATAGTAATTAATAAAACCAAATAAAATTCAATACTTATCAGTCTGTTTTGTTTGCCAACAAACTTAAAAGAATGAGAAAATAAGAAATTTTCTTTCCTTCCCACAAGTTCTTGGCAACCAAACAGATACATATGGAAAGAGGAAAATCAGAAACTAACCACAGATGCTAGAGTAATAATCAGAGCAGTCAGTGACAAGATGGTCAAAACAAGGGACAAAACCATGAAGCCCAGATGATTTTCCATGTCCTTCATAATCCATCCCATATACTGCAAATCCTGCCTTTGCTAGCCTTGTTCCTGTCCCTGTTTCATTCACCCAATTTCAACCCACTCATTCATCTATATTCATCATATATATATATATATATGGGTGAGCAATTGTACCATATTTGAAACCCGTAGTCCGGAGCAAATAGAGAGTGATATGGTGCAAAGATTAAATCTAAAACCTTCACGACATGGGTTAACTATTGATTTTTGCAATTATGCTTTTGGAATTCACTCTATTCATACCAACTAATATATATATATATATATATATATACACTAGCGGTAATTTAGATTTAATTGTTTGACCATTTACGCTGTGTTTGGTTGGAGGATTTGAGGAGGGATTTAGAAATGGAAAGGAAAAAGTTAGGTGAAATGTGAATAAAATATACCTACATTTCACCTAGTTTCACACACCTTTTCCCTTTCCTTTTCCAAATCTCTCTCCAAATCTCCCAACCAAACACACCATTAATGAATTAAAAAGATGGGTTGAATTTGAAAATGATTAACAATTATTTAACAGTTAATGATATGGGTATTTCTGGAAAAGAAAAAAAATAGGCATGACAAAGATTCAAAACTGTTATGAGTTGTGTAAGTATAGAGGTATATATATATATATATGCATGTTATTGACCTTTCATAGAGATGCTGCACTCCATGGCATAGCCATGGCAGAGAAAGATCAAAGCTTTTGGTTCAGAATTTGCAGGCAGCCATCTGCAAGTGAATAGCTTCACTCCTCTAGAATTCAGTATGAATTCCTGCATATTTTACACCCAAAAAAAATAAAAAATAATAATTAATTAGGTAATGCATAATTCATCAAGAAAACTAACATAAAATAAAATTCAAATTAAAAAAAATATATTTATTAAGAAGAAGAGGAAGAAGAAGAAGAAGAAGTTAGAATTGAACTGGGCTAACCTCTTCATATCTGACACACTCCTCTAGAATTCAGTATGAATTCCTGCATATTTTACACCAAAAAAAAAATAATAATAATAATTAATTAGGTAATGCATAATTCATCAAGAAAACTAACATAAAATAAAATTCAAATTAAAAAAAATATATTTATTAAGAAGAAGAGGAAGAAGAAGAAGAAGAAGTTAGAATTGAACTGGGCTAACCTCTTCATATCTGACACCTTCAATTTCACAAGCCTGTTAGAAAACAACAAAGAAAACAGAAAAGGTGAGACAGGGGAGAAGAACATGAGAGAGAGAGAGAGAGAGAGAGAGAGAGAGACAAACCATGAAGAGGGAATTGAAGAAGAAGTTTGGGGGATTGTTGTTGAGGATAGAGAGAGGATAAGGTATTTGTAACTGAAAGATTAATGGGAGTTTTGGTTTGAGAGAAGATTGAGTAGGAGATAGCTTGAGGACTTTATCTCCTTCCAAACATATATATAGATGGAAGAGCTAACTTGGCTTGTCCGTTGGAAGGAGTCCGCCAATTTCCTTCGCCCATAATAATTATTATTATTTTTTTTTTTTTGGGGTCAAAAACCGGTATATTATTAGATATTGACACAACCAATCAAACATAAGAATTGTCCTTTTTGAGGGGACCAATAAACCACAAAGGGGGGTAGCATCCCACAAAATGCAATCTCTAATATTGAGGTGTTTTGGGAAGATATAAGTTAAATTTCTCATCGTCTTAAAGATCAGCTACACAAATCACTGAGCCAATTATCTCATAACGTAAATTTATTATTGTATTAATTTATCTTTAATTTAGTATTTTTTTAATTTTAACTTGTTAATATGTATTTAATATTGTATTAGATTATCGTGTATTTAATAAGTTTCTATTTTTAACCCATTAATTAAATTAAATGTATTTAATAACTTTTTATTTTTAACTTATTTTTTAAAATTCAACAAAATTTCCAAATTAATTAAATGAAATTAAATATTATTAATTGCTTCTTATCAAGTGGCCAAGGGCACTTATCAATATGACTTTCACTAATTTAATAAAAATAGCAAAAATACTAGAGATTTCAAAAATTTTACCAAATATCTCTCATAAGTGTGAACCCACATGAAACTCACATGGTGTGAGTCCGTACGAGTCTTATACTCATGTAAGACATTTGATAAAAATTTTGATAGAACTTTTGAGACCTTTAACATTACTCTAAAAATAGGGAGATTTGGTCAAAATCTCCTCATAATAAAACTTTAATGCATTAAGGATAAGCCTAAAAAGTTTTTCTTAAAAAGTCCAACACATATTACTATTATCAAAATATTAAATTTTAAAATAATATAACTTTTGATGTAAATACCGATTTATAATAAAATTAGTATTTTTATAATCTTCTCATCAAGATTTATGAAATAAGATCCATATTAATTATGAAATTCTTTAAAAAAAAATTAATTATTACTATCGAAATTTATGTAAACATTAACAGTAACATATTATTCTAGTTCATAGTAATATGTTACTCTGACAATATTGAGGTCCTGAAAAAATAGAAAAAGATATTTTAGTTTATCCTTACTCAATTATGTGTTTTCTCTTTAGAGGGTTTATGAAATAAAAGAAATTGAACTGTCTTTTTCACCAAATAAGGATCAGTCAAATAGAGGGATTTTGGCTAAATTTTTTTAAAAATAAATATCAAAAAGATATTTTTAAATTAAAAAAATTATTTTTATCTTTTAAAAGATAAAATTACATAAAAATACTATTTTTAATTTTTTTTATTTCACCAATTAAATTTTTTATCTTTTTTTTATATAAAAAAATTGACACAAATTTTTGAAAACCAAACAAAACATATCCAAGAGTTCTTATGCAATCGTCAAGCAATAATTATTATTTTCTTACTATTAAAAGAAATTAAATATCTTTCTCTTTTTTTATTTTTTTTTATTTTAAAAGGAGACAACTAAGGATAATCTTTCTAGAAGCAAATATGGTAAATACAAAAATAAGGAAACTCCTACTCTTCGGCTGATAAGGATTGACCTTCTTTTTAAGATTGAAGAGGAAAACGTCCAAATAGACGGTCAATCACAATATCATATATTATGGATTTATTTATTAACTTATTGAATTACATGCTTTTATTATGTTACCATAGAAAATAGAGGAACATTTTAAAATGAAAAATTTATCTATAAACCTTATTTTGATGGATGGCTATTCGTTTAATTCTAAGAATTTTTTTTTATAGGCCAATTGATCCCATTAATTTTAGAAAGGTATATTTAATATATTATTAAAAATTAGATTTACGGTTATACCTTTATTTATATTATGTTTCCTTCTTATTTATTTATTTATTTTGATGCTAGAAAGGTAAGATACATAACCTATATGAATCAAATATTGGATAATTTTTATATGAGAATCTTTTTCATTTGGAATGATTTCAGATATGACATTCTTCAAACATTCCAAAAGAAATTCAAAAATAACTTGAAATATGAAAATTTAACCCAAGGGGTGAGTGGCATTGTGATTAAGGCCTGGGGGCTAAGCCCCAGGTCACAGGTTCAATTCCCTTCATTGGGCCAATCTCTTGGGCGAAGTATAGTTGGTTAGGAGGTTTGACCTCAAGTTGTCTAATCAGTACTTGATGTGAATTCAATACTCCCCGCTGTGCGAGTCCTGACTTAAGCCGAACTTGTCATGGAAGATCAGCGGCAAGTTCCCAAGTTATAGTCTTCTCGCTTGGAACGACTAACAGGACACCCTGGTGATCTCTGCCAGGGGCTCTGCATTGGACCTATGGGAGAGTAGGGAGGATTTTCCTGTAACAAAAAAAAGAAAAAGAAAAAAAATATGAAAATTTTCAAACATTCTAAAAGGATGTGAGACTCTTCAAATATTTCAAAATGGGTATAAAATTTCCTTATTAAGTTTTGAGCAAATGTATAATTTCAAACTATAATACTCCAATGTAATACTCAAACTTAACACTCCAATTAACATTCTAAAAAACTATTTAGTGTACTTTTCCCAAACGTAATACTCTAAAAAAACTCTTTAGTATAACACTCCAATGTAAAACACTAAAAACTCTTTAGTGTACTTTTCTCAAACATAGCACTCCAATGTAACACTCTAAAAAACAGATGTGAGATTCTTCAAACCATTCCAAAAAGAATATAGAAATTTCTTAATATGCTTTGGGTAAATGTATAATTTCACTCACAGTTTCAAAAAGAGTACGAAAATCCTTAGTATGCTTTGGGTAAATATATAATTTCAAATTGCGAGTGTTACGTTTGAAAAAAAGTAAACTATAAAGTTTTTTAATATTTTCGAGTGTATTACATTGGAGCTTTACATATGAGAAAATACACTGAGGAGTTTTTTTAGAGTGTTACGTTATTACTTTGGAAAAAAATATATTAAGTCATTTTTAGTATGTTATATTGGAATTTTATATTGTTAGAGTATTACATTGGAGAGTTACATTCTTATTCATATTGTGGGAAATGAAAGAAAATCTAAAACCTCTATAATAGAGATTGTCCAAATATGTAATTTCACATTTGGAGAAATCCAATTTTATCCTTAAAAAATTAAACCCAAATGTGTAAGTAACTACCATTTTGTGTAATTTTCACCTTAATAGGACCTTTGAGTTCATTTTTTAAAAAAAAAAAGAGAAAGAAAAAAGAAAAAAGAAAAAAGAAAAGACTAAACAGTTTATAAAATCACATTTTAAGATTTATTGATATTTCACCTCTTTAAAATTGGTAAAATTATATGACCATAATTTTTAAAAAAAAATTACACAAGATGACTTCACTTTTGGGGTCCTTTCATTCAAACTAAAGCATTTACTTATTTCATCATATTTGTTTTTACAAAAATAAGGGAAATTTATTTAAAAAAATTCGTATTTGTATCTTAATTAGTCCATAAGATATGTTGCATTCTAATAAATTATATTATTTGGGGCATTTGATCCACCAAATCATAATTATCATATTTAATGTATTTTATGAATAATTTTCTCCTTATAAATATTTTTTGAACTCTTAGCAATTTGGTGATGTGAACATTCACATTAAATAAATTTGATAGTATGAATGTTCACGTTGACAGTGTGAATGTTCACATTAGGAAACATATCCGCTGTCAATGTGAACATTAATGCGCATTTCACCTTATTATTATTACGAGTATTTTGATAACTATGTCACCCATAAAACTTATTGGAACATAAGAAAATAATTCGGACTAAGTGGAACATAAGTAAGTAAAGAGAGATTTATGAATAAATGTCACAAAAAACAAATAGTTAATTTTTAAAATTAAACTTCTTGTTATCATTGGAAGATAATTAAAAAAAAAAATCATATAACAATAATTATTGTATCAATTAAAATTTTGTATGAACTATACACTAGAATTTATGATACGAATGACTTAAATTACTAAAATATGACGCGTGATGGGCTAGTCGGGGTTCAAACAACATTTGTTAGTCCACACTGAGAGACAATCTACCATTGCATTACTTTCTTTACTTAACCCAAAGAAGTTTGTTATTTTAATTTTATTTTCTATCTTTCTTTTTTTCTTTTTTTGAAAAACATAGTAACCAAATTAACCATATTAGAGTTTATGTAATTTTCAATGACAGAAAATTATTTTATAGAAAACAAAATGACTATTAGATGACATGGATTTCGAATCACTTTTGGGATAAAAATCATGTGAATATGAGCCAAAAAAGGGTTTTAAAAAATCATTTTAGTCAATTGTTATGGAGATTCATCCCTTCTACAGATTTGCAATGCTTTTCAATATTTATTATTGGATTCATTACCAACTGTGTGAGTGGTACGTGTGACCTTATACGTTAGCCTAAAGCCACCATGGTAAGGAAGATCATTAATTTGGTAATTAAATTAAATTAAATTATTTATTTTTTGCATTTGTCATATGATTTTAGCTGGTTAATAAGTTAAATTAGCACAATTGAACGTTCGATGTATTTTTAAAACCTCAAACTCCACAACTCTTATGAATAATCTAAAGACACAATTATGTGAGTTATACTCAAGTCAAATTACAATTGTCATACATTAATTTTGATAGTAAAAGATCATTTTGCAAGGATTTTTCAATGTTTGAAAAGTATTTAACTCCTTCATTTCACATACCCCTTTTGTCTTCACAAAATTATTTTTGTTTTAAATATTTTTTTTGTGTGGTTATATTGCCTCAACAAATAAAAAAAAAAAAAAATTGTGAGTAGAAGGAAAGTAAGATCATTGTGTAAGTGAATTTCTGACCACACCGTCAAACTCAGTATTCAGCTGGGGAGCACTGGTAGAATAAATGGCACCTAACTGACATGCAACAGAAATAGAAGATT